CAGCGGAGCAGAAAGCAACCGAGTTTGGTGGACGTGGTGGCCACAGATCGGCGCCTAAATTATGTACACCCTTTGGGGTCCCCAATGAACACTCACACCCCAAATGGTTAGGTTCTTGCAGCCCAAGTGAGCGTTCTAACGGCCATCTACGAGCAACATGTGGGCAAGGGTGATGCTGCGTTGCAAGCTTCCTTCCTTTCAGGTATGCTGCACTTAGAGAACACAGGCACTTGGAGTGAAGGCTGCAATTGTGACAGCACTCACTGCGGGGGTGCTGGTCGTTTTCATTTTGAACCAGCCAAAGCAACTGAGGCTCCCCCAAATATAAGGTGACGCAAGGGGCTGAACAATTACCCACATCAATATGTTGTGACCATGAGATATCCTTTTTTTAAGCACATCACCCAACAAGGCGCAGCGACAGATGTTTGAAAAGAACGATGGCTGCACACACCGTGGAACCAATCCCTAGATTTATACATTTCCCTGGTTTCCTCCAGAAAGGAGCAACATGTTGTGCCCGATTTTAGCACGCAGCTTCCTACTTTAAACCAGCACATTTCTCATGGTTCCCTTGGCAAATGGACCCCGCACTATCTATCACAAAGTGGTAATCACGTTTTGCAGGGATCAAAGGCCAATCCGCAACCATGCGACTCGGAAGTTCGAAGTTGACAAACACAGCTCCTAGATCACCTGCAAAATCAACATGTTGCCTCAACCGAAAAACGCTTTTTGACTTGATATGATGACTTTGTGTCAAGGACTTGGCTTCCCTTTCAATGCAGACTCTATTTTCAGCTCGCGCCGCTTCGCGGTTGCCTACTCAAGGCACGTAGAGGTTGCTGAACCAATCCCGCGTCCAGGCAAGCCACTCTTGTCAAGGGTATTTTACCTCTAGGAATCACGGGATGGTTGTTACCCGGTTTACTGTTCCAGTATCTGGAAGCACCAGGAAACAAACATCGGGCTTGCGATTAGAGTCACCTCCACAGCCCAAAGTGGTGGACATGGCTCCGGGACCCATGACAATTCCATGCCCATAGCGTGTTTTTTTTCTTTTTCTGTTTTTGGTGGTTTTGCTGGATCACCTTCGAAAGGAACACGGAAGGCATTTGGTAGGTCTAAAAAAGCACACCAGCCCCCCAATACCCATTTGATATGGGAACACCCCAAGCTTGCGTTTTCCTTTTTGTGTCCCTACAGATCTGATCCACCCCAAAAAGGGCACCTCAAAAACGACGCAGCCATACTGTGGATGGACAAAGTCCATTTCGCACCACGTTGAAGCCATGGTTGAAACCATTATTTGTTGGTATTTACAGGGAAATCATCATTCCAGGGTTTCTGAACGGTGCAGGATTTCGCACATCCAGAAATAATTTGATTTTCCCTGTGAAAACCAACGAACAGCGGTTTCAACCAGGGCTTCTGAACGGTGCGAAATGGATTGCGCTTCTCCATCCACAGACCGGAAAATAATGGTTCCCCTGCAAATACCAACAAATCATGGTTTCAAGCATGGTTTCGAAGTGGTGCAACATGGATTGCGCTTCTTCCACAGACCCTAGGTTCCCCAGTGGTGCCCTTCTCTCCCCTTTTTTGGTTTGGAGGGTTCCCCTACTAAAATCGACAAAAATGAAAAACAATTCGGGTACTAACTTATTCTAACATCTCTCAAATCTGGAGGACCTTGGGGGGGTACATACCCCAATCGCCTCAAACCTCTTATGTCAGCAAGGGGTATCTTGGCCGCGACTCGCATCAGCACCAGGAAGCCCCGGTTGCCCTATCTACTGGAGGACTGCACTGACCGCACTTCAAGTCCCCGGTCGCACTCGTTGCCCTCGTTGCCCTCGGCTCAGGCCGCGCCTGGCCCAGCGGCCCTGAGCTGCCGCGAGGCGGGGGATGTCAGGTGCCAGGCGTTTGGTTGGCTTTGTGAATCCACAAGCACAGCTTTTTTTTCCGATTTTTGTGGGTCAAACTCGCTTCCGGAGTTCCGGGACTCGGACTTTAGCCACTTGTTGGGGGCTAGTCACTTGTTGACTTTGGTCACTTGTTGGATTTGTGTCAGCCACTTCCTGAGTTCCAAGACTCGGACTTTTGGTCAAAAACCTTTTTTGGGTTGGAAGGAAACCAAGCACCATTTGGCTGTGGCTCAAAAAACCGGTACCAAAATGGAACCCTGGTAAGTGGACACATGGACCAAAACCTGCGGTTTGCCCCTCCTGGTTAATTTTGAGCCACACCCATTTGGTTTCACGTACTTCCCGAGGCATCGGTTTGAAAGGCGTTGCGAAACGCCAGTGGCTTGACTCACTTCCTGAGTTCCGGGACTCGGACTTGAGTCGCTTGTTGGGGGTTGGACCATTTTAGTAGCAAACAAAAAGTTTAGACTTTGTTTGGACAATCAGTAGGTGAGGAAAAAGCAAAAGCAGGCCGTTTTCCATATTTTGGAGTCTTTCTGTTTATACATGTTGAACCAAGAAGTATTGGGGTTCCTATGGCTGGCTCTTTGCATATGCCAAGGGTTGCTTCCTCGCAGGGCCTGTTTCGTCACGTGCCTTTGCCTCACTTGGTTTCCGATTCCCATCCGGTTCCTCAAGGTGTTTGTTTTTTTTTTAGTTGGTTCAGTGGCAGTTTCCGAATTGAACCCATCCGGTTCCTTAGGTTTTTAGTAGTTCTTAGATGCTTTAGTGGTTGCCCAACCACTCAACCCACAAGTGAATTAAACTTTTGGCGCAGCTGACTTTGTCGTTTTTTTTTGGGTGGGGGGGGGGGTTCCCGAAGGCCGTGATGAACCCCAGCTAAGGTGCGCCCAAAAACACCCACGCGGAATTTGTTTCCGCCCCAAGGGCGGGGGGCGGAAAAGAGGGGGGGGGGAATGGTGGAAGTGGAGGAGTTGAGACCTGGGTTTATTTGGGTTGCCTTCCTTGTGGTTCCCAGGGAGTCCACACCCCCATCTCACCCAAAGGACACCCGAAAGGTCAAAGCGTTTTTTTTTGCACCAACCAACCTAGTTTAATTTGGGTTTTTGGAAGGTTTGGCAACCCACAGAAAGAGGTACCCTTACAAAAAAGACGAACCCATTCTTTTGCTCCCCTTTTGAGGGTGGGGCTGTAGCAAGCTAATCAAGGCACACCTGGAGGCCCCGTTTCATTTTTTTAATTGTACTCTGACAGATTCTTTGAAGCTGCAACGAGAAACTTCTGCCGGCCCTTCTCGGAATTTGAGAAGCCCTTTTTGGTCGGGTTGGAACAGAAACCGACACAAAAACCCCAAACCCCAAGAATCGGAGAAAATTACCCAACTGCAACCAACCCTAATTCCAAACCCGCAAAACACAGGTCAAACCCTCAAAACCCTCAAACAGTTTCAAACACATGTCAAACAACCCGGCGCGTGGAAAATGGAACGTGCCGCTGCGCTAAATTTGCGCCACGCTCTGTCACCCCCGTCCCACGCCTGCCATGTGTTTTGTCATGTCTGGAGGAAAATAATCACACCGTGACAGGGGGATTCAACAAAACACTGTCATTTACCATACGAAATGAAGGTGCGAGTGGCGAAAAGTAGCACCTTTTTTTGAAGAAAATTGCGTTTCGCCTGCGTTTTGAGCAGCGCCGAGTGGTTCGTTTGATCCCGAGCACAGCATCATCTTCCAGGGCCTCCTCGTCTAACATATGCGAATCATCTTCCACCTCGTCTGACATATGCGAGTCATCTTCCAGGGCCTCCTCGCCTGACATATGCGAACCGGGGCCGCTCGCTGGCGATGGCGAAGGCAGGAGTCCCAAGCTGGAACTGGAGCTTGGCGGGCACGACTCGCTGGAGGACACGATCGCGACGTCACAGTCAAGGTCACAAACTCGCTGATGTGGGCAGTGGTCGAATGCGGATGCGGCATGTGTTCTGCTGGCTGTGGATGCTGCGGGGCGGGTGTGCTTATCATGGGCTGAGCATGTGTTCTGCTGGCTGTGGATGCTGCGGAGCGGGTGTGCTTATCATGGGCTGAGCATGTTTTCTGCTGGCTGTGGGTGCTGCGGGGCGGGTGCTTACTGCTGTCTTTGGATTCTGCGGCGCGTATGCTTGTCATGGTCTGAGCATGTGTTCTGCTGGCTGTGGATGCTGCGGGGCGGGTGTGCTTATCATGGGCTGAGCATGTGTTCTGCTGGCTCTGGATGCTGCGCAGCGGGTGTGCTTATCATGGGCTGAGCATGTGTTCTGCTGGCTGTGGATGCTGCGGGGCGGGTGTGCTTATCATGGGCTGAGCATGTGTTCTGTTGGGTGTGGATGCTGCGGGGCGGGTGTGCTTATCATGGGCTCAGCATGTGTTCTGCTGGCTCTGGATGCTGCGCAGCGGGTGTGCTTATCATGGGCTGAGCATGTGTTCTGCTGGCTGTGGATGCTGCGGGGCGGGTGTGCTTATCATGGGCTGAGCATGTGTTCTGCTGGGTGTCAATGCTGCGGGGCGGGTGTGCTTATCATGGGCCGGTATGATGAGCGTCGAGGTTTTTTAACCGATGGGAGTAACTACACGTACGGTTTTCCACGTGTAGGCTCAAACAAGGATGATGAAACCAATTGTTTCATTCAATCATAACAAACAATAGTAAGATCAAGTCTTATCCAAGAGATACACAAATACATAAACTTTGTGACTCCCAGCCATCCCCTTAGCTTTTTAGCCTTTTAGTGTTTAGTGGTAGTTTCCGTTTAACTCACAAGTTAGTCACTGTTAGCAGGGGATCTGAAAATGGGCAGCCCAGTAAGCCAATTATTTCATGCAATTATAGCAAGCAAAAATGATATGAAGTCTTGTCCAGGAGATACACATACACAAATACCCTTTTGGGAGTGGGGAGGGGGGGGGTTCAACCCACTGGAGGGGGCTTGTTAAGTTTCCCTTTTGGGTGTGGGGAGGGGGGTTCAACCCACTGATAAATACTTATGTTCTTCAAACATCTCAACCCCCCAGAAATTGAAACCAAAGCCACGATCCGAGGCTTCGGCCTCCCAGAGGCGGTGGAGGTAGAGCTGCCGCGGGCTCAGGCGACTTCGCAAAGTCTGGTTGGACATCGGCCCGAAAAAAACACACCTCCATTTGCTTGGGCTCTTAGGAATATGCCCTTTTTTCCCCTTCTTGGATTTGCTTAGGCTTCAGAATATGGTTCATTTCCCCTTCTTGGTTTGAAAGGGAATCTATCACTACTCGGGGGCCGGAGGTTTCGGAGGCTCGAGCCATGTGGTTTTTGGGCCGAGAAGAGAAAGACAGGTTGGGAGGCTCAATTTTCGGAGACCTGAACCAAGATCCGGAGACGTGTTGTCTGGTTGCACTGATAGACCTGCGCCTCATCGCTTTTGTCTTTCGATGTCGGAGCGACAAAGGGATGGATTCCTTTTCCCTCACAGATTTGGGTGTATCTTTTTTGGGGTGTGTTTTAAAGAGAATACACCAGGAAAGCCACTTTTTCTCTTTTTGTCGGGGGGGTCCGCTAAAAAGAGACAGACCCATTTTGATGACTCACATTCTTTGTGGAACCCGGCCCCTGGACGTGCCACTTGGGTTTTCAATCTGAAGTTTCACACGGGATCTTCCTGGGACAAATCCGGGCTGTTTGTTTCACCATGTTGATCATGTTCACAATCTACCCCCTACCCGCTTTGGAGTTCTTTTTGTGGGGAGAGCCTGGTTGTCCATGGCAAATACTTTTTGTTTGGTGGGTTTGAAAGGAAGGCAAAGGGAAAACCATATTTGTTTTGGGTTCACCAACAAATGACACACCCAGTTGGTTTTGTGTCCTCTGGTCCTTTTCCTGAACCAACTTCCTACCCTAGGGTCGAATGGATTTTCCAGAGAGCCATGTTTGGGCAATCTTGGCAAACGAGCGAGCACCTAAGGGTTAGTCCTTTACTCGGGTATTCCATCAATTTCCATCTGAGTTATCTCGCCATTGGCCTGGTCTTTCTCTTGGCGGGTCCCAGCCGTTTGGTTGCTCAGACTTTTGTTTTGTTTTCTCGTCGGTTTAGTGGTTGAGTTCCCTTTTATCCCACAAATGATTCACTTTCAGGCATGACAGGGTACACGCCGCACGACGAGGAGTACGGCCGTGCTTTGCGCAAGTATGAGGTGGCCACTTGCACTCGAATCAAGTGTGGCGGAGAAGATGCGTGGCCTTGGAACATTCCAGCAGACCGGAGGTGGCTCACCATGGGAGGTGTTGGCTGATCATTCCTCTTGCCAGCCACATCCTTGGCTTCATAGGTGTCTTGTTTGGTTGGTTTGCTTGAACGTAGAGGGCGATTCCTGGTTTGCCTGGTGGTTCAATCATCTACCAGGGCCATCTATTGTCAAAGGACACCTATGCAGGGGATCAGAAAACGGACAGCCCAGTTTTGTGTTTGATTTATGGTTCCCAGCCACGCGCTTCCCGACTTTTAGAGCCGTCACATATGTGTGGCTCGTCTTGTTTTAGGAATCGGAACCCCCAAAATGATGGGTGGTTGGTCTTTTTTGCGGTTGGTCCCCCAAAGAAATATTGGTTTTCCTTTGCAAGAAGACAGAGCCAGATCCCACTAGAAGCTGAGTTGACTGAAAGTTGGCGACCCAAATGGGCTTGGCTCAATAATAAAGAGCCAGGGTTACGGTTTTAGTCTTTGGTTTCATTTACCTTGTGGTGCCATTTTGGTACATGTTTTTGAGCCATTGCCAATTACCTACAGCAACCCATTTGGCCTTGCAAAAGCCCGGTTCCCCCCCAGTGAACATCAACCAATCCAATCACTAAGCATGGTTTTTGTTGGGAAACATTTTACATTTTTGCTTATGATGGTTTAGTGGGAATCCCCACTGAACTGCTATAATTTATATGTTTGCTCATCTTCCAACGTCAACCGAGTAAAATAGATATTAAAATGAGTGGCAACTGGCACCTCAACCAACCCACCCCCTTTGGGCGTCGCCATTTCCGGAGCCGCGAGGTTCGAAGAGCACGGCCTTCTTCTGATGGATGCGCAGCTGCCAGGGCCCTAGGGCTGCTGAGCTGCTGGTGTAAAGCTATGTGGGTGGCTCGTCGTTTTTTTAGGGATCGGAGCCCAAATTTGGTGTCGGCTTTCCCTTTGGTTCCTGTAGAACCACGAAAAAAAGCAGGGTATGTTGAGAAATATGCACCCATATAGGTGCATATTGAAGAAACAAAAGAAGAATTTCTACCAATCACAATACAATATAGTAACATACACTTAATTTGACAAGGACTACAGTCACAAGATTAGATACTTCTGAAACACCAGGGAAGCCACGTTTACCATTAACAACCCACTACACATAAGTATTATCATAATTCAAATAATGATACTGATAGTCCGCAGAATAGATGACTCTGTATTTTCCAGATAAGATAGTATTTAAGCATATGCTAAAAAAGAGAAATAGTTTCGTCCCTCAACTTGATTTTAAACGTCTAGAGCCGCATGAGTACGACAACTCCATATGTATATATGTACATGTTATATATACACATGTGTGTTCACACAAACCAAGTATACACATGCGCGTGGGTATAATATATATGTATATATACATCCATTTGCTGATGTGTCTATTGATGCGTATCCGTTGGCCATTAGTGATTCCCCTTTGGATTCCCTTTTAAGGGTGACATGTTGATATTTGTATCGTATGGCATTTTCCACAACCAAGATCCAGTCCAAAGCCGCCGGGTTCCGCGGTGAAGAATACCATCTGCATATTTTCTGGGGTGTTCACTTTGGGGTGACAGGAGGTTTGCTCTTGGCTTTGGAATCCAAGTCTTATTTCAGCTTGAAATGAATGTCCAGCACTCCCCTAACTGGTTTTTCCGATCTTCCAGCAGAACAGGTTGCCCGAACCCACCGCCCTGTGGCATCGATCTGATTTAAGCGGCCCAGTTTGAGCTCCAACAGGCCGTGGGATTCGGATCCCTCGACCTCCCTTTTCTCTTGGGCTCCAGCCGGATCCTTAGCTTTTGAGATCTTAGTTGGTTTCGTGGGGGGTTCCATTTTTTTCTCCAGAATCTTTTGCGGATCGGAAAACGGACAGCCCTTTTCAGGTTCCATGTTGATTTGGACAAATCAGATATCCACAAGCGCCCTCCAAGCTTTTTCAACCGTGCCGCCGGCCGAGCGCGGCGCTCGCTCGCGGCTCGCTCGCGGCAGGCGCGGCACGGTGTGCAGTGGCAACGACTTCCCTGGGCCCCCCTTGCGGGCCTTGCTGGAGCGGGCCGAAAGTCGAGCTCAAAGGGAGGGGGCTGGAAAGTCGAAACTAAAATCTCAGGGTTGCCTTCAACTTAGAAGACCCACTTTTCTTTTCTTGCGGGACTCGGACTTTGTAAACTTTTTGGGGTTCCGTTTTAGTGGTAGATTCACTCCCGTTCCGGGACTTGGACTTTATAAGCTTTTTGCGCTTGGACCGTTTTAGTGGTAATTTAGCCAAAACAAGTTGGGTACTTTTTCGCGCCAAACCAACCGGAAGTGAGAAGACGGCCTTTTGCTTCAGGTACAATCCAACTCAAAGGTTCCTGGCTCTGCAAACAGAATGTGTGTCTTTTTCTTGGCCTCCCTATATTCCCTGTTAAAACCACCAAGAAGGGGGCAATTACTCCACACAAAGCAAACAATGGCTGGTTTTTCAGCTGGTGGTTTCCCTTTGGCAACCACCAGAAAGGGGGTACCCAAAAAAGATCGACTCAGGTAAGGACTTTTCCCGGGAGGTGTCTTCTGTATGAACATGGGACATGCCCGCTGAGAATCAACCAGCCAAGTGGGTGAACAGAACCTGCTTTTGCCAGATTCCCTTGAGACAATGCGCGCTAGGCCTCAGTATGCCCACTTCGGAGGTCTCCTTTTAGTTTCCCTAACTTCCAAAGCAAAAGGGCCCTCCCCCATCGACCATGGGACCTGTGTTTGTTCCGTGCCATTGTCGATGAGCGACACCCACAAAGGGGAGTGGCCATTCAACGAGGGAAGGCGCTCAACATGGGGGGGGGGAGGCGGCCAAAGGATCTACCTGGTTGATTTGCGCTGGGCGTTGGGGCGGGGCACTGCCAAACCAGCGCACCCTTCATGTAAGAATGTGGCCTTGCAAATGGTCCCCGCAAGCGTGCAGCGTACGAGGGGCTGCCGACGTATTGTTTATGTTGCTCCAACTTACAAGAAGCGGTGCTAAGCAGCCAAAACGGAACACATTATATTTCGAAACAAGCACCATTTGTGTATTCTGTTTAGTTTTGGTACATGTTGTAGTGTATTTAGCATATATTATTTTTTGTCTAAGCCATCTATCGATACTTGTTGTTGTTTTTCTTACGTGATGACGAACTATTGCAATTGTGTACATATGTATAAATATACATATATATATATACATATATATATAGAGAGAGGTGCACATAATTTCTACCGACTACTTGTCTCAATAGGCGTTGCACACGTGGGATATATCAGGGCACCTACCCCACCCCCACGCCCACCCCCACCCCACCAAGGGTTGAACACACCCCGCGCGGCTTTCCTAGGACCTCGGCCAGACTTACTCCGCCTGCAACTGGAGGGCGGCTAGCCAGGCAAGCGGCAAGCGCCCAATTCAGAAGCTTTCGCGGGGGTTTGTTTAAAGGGACCAACAGGAAGTCCCACTTTTTGTTTGGGCCCTCTATGTGTTGGCCTTGTTTGTTCCTTTTTCTCACTTGCTCAAAGCGGATCGACCGGATCTGACCTGTTGTTTTTTTTCCCTTGTTGGGTTCTCATTTGTAGTCATGGCCTCCAAAAGCTATCCTTTTCATGCTGACCGAGTGGTGCTTTTTTAAACATCATACTTTGGGCCAGCGTTTTAAGTGAGCTTCTTTTGGTTCAAGCGGGGTGATGTTTAATCTAAGGGGGAAATATGGGAACCCTGTTTCTGCCTGTTTCGCCGCCTGCTTTTTTGTCGAGAACTTGTCCCCGCATGAAACATAGGCCCAACTAGTCATAGGGCCGTGAGTAAGAACCAGTTGGATTGAACTCTTGAAGGCGGGTGCTTAGTTTGAAGCGAGACATGTAGGTTTCTCTCAATCGGATACCGAACTTTGCGGCTGGTGTTCTTTTTAAATTTGATATGTTCGCATTGAAGATATATAACTTTGGGCATCTCGCTCCAACTTAACATGTAAGTGTGTGTGTATATATATACATATGTATATGCTCACCCCCCCCCCATGAACTACATCTGGGGCACACGTGTCTGATTCAACCAGGTCTGAAGGATCATTTGTTCATTTGTTCATCTGCATTTGCTCATCTGTGTTTGCAGCCACAAAGTACAACATGTCAAAAACAACGTATAGGCATCTGCATCTGTGCAAGTCATGGGGGAACAACTGATTGTGTCGACTGAGCCCTTTGCTCATAGCACTTTGTTCCCTGGCTACCAACCCACTTCATTCTGGGCATGTGCAAACACCCTTGTGTACTCAACGTATCCTGTGGTCTTTCAGGGTCCAACCATTTTGTAGGGGTTCACATGTTCGGCCCGGGGTGGTGTCTCAAAATGGGGATTTCCGGCCCATCAATCTCTTGTGGCTGTGTTGGAAGGAAACGCTGGCCACCTCAGCGTTGCCCTCAAAGGTTTACCCCTGGCTGTCCCAGACCTTCGCTGACAGGTGGGCGTCCCATGCTTGGAGGAAAGAACATGCACACACGATTCTCTTATGATCACTTTTTTTGGTTCAGCCAGTCCTTCACAGCCCCAGTCTACTTATTTGAGTGCCGCAATCTCAAAACTTAGGGGGAAACTAGCCTTGCTTCAAGAACGATGGAGTCAATCCCTAGATCTGTGCATTTTCGTGTCGGGACATACCAAGCTAGTGGAACAATTGAGGCGGCCCATGGAGGAAGGGCTCTCAGAACCCTCTCAAGGTTGCGGTCGAAAGGGTGCTCATAGATCCTTTCTGGGGGTAAAGGGCCCCCCTCTGCTTGTTATAAGTTATCAGTGTTCATGCCATATTTAAATCCAACTCTGAGCCCTGGTACTTCAAACCTCAGGAACCGTCTGGCAGGTTCGCAAAGTAGTGTCCAGATCAATCAATCAATCTGGATGTTTTTGTGTGCTTCCCCCCAGGAGTGTGTCGGGGTTCTGCTTAAAAATGGAATTGGCGGAGGGAGATGGTTCCTGGAATTCATTTCTGGTCCTATGCGACACCCCCACCTCCTTAATGTAGGCAAACATGTTTTCCTCTAAATGTGACACCCCTCCCCCAAAGCCTGGCCGCTTTGCTCGCAAAAACCCCCCTCCCTTAGCGGGTCGCAAGCTGAAAAAGCAGCCCCGGAAGGTTGGGGTCCGCAGCGGGGATCCCTGCATCCGCCGCGCCGGGGAGTGGTTGGACCTGGCCCGCGCGCCCAGCGAATGCTCCCAGCTCCTTTCGTTGGTCCCACTCTGGGTTTGCTCGCACAAAGGTTGACCGGACACCGACTCGAGATGCGAACATTTGTATCATGGTAGGTTGGCTTGTTTGCTCCTTTTGTTTGTTTCATGTTTGTCCCGTGCTTGTTGTTTCTTCTTTGTAGTTATTCTGTTTGCGCTTCATTTTTGTCAGTGTTTGTATGTACTTGTTTTTGTTCTTGTGTTTTTTTTTTTGTCATTGCATTTGTTGCGTTCTTTCGGCGCCTTTTTGTTGTTCGCTGTTTGCCTCATGCTGTTTGCAGAAGAACATGTATGTGTTGTTTTTCTTCTTTCGACAGGGTGCGTAGGCAAACACCAGCCATATGTTGCTTGTTTTTTTTGGTCTAGGTTCCCCAGTAGTGCCCTTTTACCCGGACTACATCTGGGTTCTGGGTTCCACGTGAATCCGCTGGGGAGCATGTTTGGCGTTGGGACCTGTTAAACATATATCAATTTTAGGTCCACGAAACATGGTGGCCATGATCTAGAATTGCCATTTTAAGTTGCAGGCAAATGCTGAGGTGGTGTGTGGGAGTGTGTATTCCCCATTTTGAGAAACACGAACCCAAGGTGCATCTTGTGTCACCTGGCGTTCTTTCGAAGCAACCAACATATGTATATTATTTGCATAGTCTTGAACAAAGGGTCCCTGGAAAGATCATTGGTGTTTCTTTTTTGTCGGTGCTTTTTCTTCGACAAGGAATCCATGGACATGCACATACTGCTAGAACAATCTATTTTTCTGTTGTTTGGATGTCAGGTGGTAGAGCAAATGACAATTTGCTTGGTTAGTCCATTCATTTGGGAGAGCATGAATCAGGAACATTCTCTAAGAAAAGAGCAGTCTGCAGAGCACCCGCAGTGGACCTGCCTTGGGGGGGAAGACCCAACCAAGAAGGTTCCTTCCTTTTCGCTAAGTCATGTATGGTTTTGGGGGGTTGATTCTATGACATTTTGCCTTTGTGGGTAGACAGGAAATCATTTATGAAGAGGGGGCCCCCGCTTTTGTCCCAATTCAATCCGCTGAAGTTACTGCTCTGCTGTTGGGGATACTCCTTACGCCAAGTTTTCCTCAGGGGCTTGGGGAGCTGTCAAAACTGGTTGGACCCCTGCAAATAGTCGGTTGGTCATGGTGGTGGACACCAGAATCTTAAAGCCCATTTCTGTGATCCCTTCAATTTGATGAAGCACTCATGAGAGCCCACCACTTTGGTATCAGGGGCGGGCTGCGCTGAGATGGCGTTTCTTCAGGGCTTGGCAACCGCGGAGCAGCCGACAGCGGTCAATCTAGGTCTTCTAAAATTCGATGACATTTTGCTTTTCCAGTCGGCAGTTCAAGCACTTGGATATGACCCTGAAGACAAAAGTGGAGCTGAAGACGTGTCCCAATGTATTCCCTCAGGGATAAACTGTGTGTGGGCTCCTCATGGTGTGGCGAGAGTGATTGGTGCCTCTATCCTTGGCATTGTCAGTGACTCTTGCATTAAAAGGGAGCCGCCAGCGCCTGGTACGGCGCGAGGGCGAGCTATTGTGCTTCCATTTTGTATTTCTTGATCGCGTGTGACGCAAGGTCCACATGCATGTCATCAAGTCATAAGTTTTTGGGGTGGGCACCACAAGAGGGTCGTCTGCAATGGCCAAACAACAACACAGAAAGGGCTATTCTCCAGAGCATGCGGCGAGGTTGTCAAAATGAGGCCCCTTTCTGGTATCCCCTTCAAGTAGCGGCACAAGGCGGCATGGGCTGACATGAGACGGGCAGCTTTTTGGCATCAGGATGGGAACCCCATGGACGTCTTTGAGGCCGCAGACCGATCTCGGCAGTTTTGGAACGGGGAATTCTGGTTCCACCATCGGGGTGTTTTTTTTTGTTTCTTTTCGGGGGGACCTTGCAAAACAAGTGGTGTCCCTTTGGTTTCCCTTTAAATGCGTACCCTTCTTTAAAAAAAGAAAGAAAGAAAAGGACACCCAACAATAACCTGTTGATGTCTTTCGGTGAAGATGACGGTGTCCAACCGAAACACGCCCAAGACGGCAGTTGCGAAATCAGCTCTTTGGGGTGGATATGCCTGGGTGCAACTGAAGGTGAGTTGCCAGTTCCCGTGGGCTGTGGTCCTGTGGGACTCAGTCTTTTCCTTTTGCTTGCAGGGTGTTCCAACACAGTGTTCGCGCTTTCATCGTGATAAGCAAGGACTGTGCCGAAGCGGATTCCTGTTCCAGAATATCTTGACACCAGCAGAGTTTCAAGAGTGGTTTGAGTTGTTTTTTTAATCCTTCCAATATGTCCTGCGAGAGGGCAGCACGACTGTTTGCGAACGATAGTGGCTTAAGCGCTCCCAACAAGTAGTTGGCCCGTCCCTCTTTGAGAGGAACGAGTGCGCATCCCAGCATTCCAACTCAAGCACTGCAAGGAGGTGAACACCTCCGCAAAGCTACGAACATGCTAAGATGTACATTTGGAAATGCAATGCGTGCATTTGACTATGGGGTCTTCAATGCGCTCAATTTTGTGGGGGGTGAGGGTATGGGTGTGTCTCTTTTTGGGGAGTCCCTATTGGTTTGAAAGTGAACCAACAGGAGGCCATATGGCTGGAAACTAGAAGCCCTCCATACCCTAGAAGGGTCTGGTTCTTTTTTTTGGACGGGTTCTCATACGCAATTGAGATGACAATATGCCGGCAGCGGGTCACCTTGCTTTTCTGCTATAAGCATCATTTGACGAGGTGTTGGCGTCACAAGTGTTGTCATTTTTCTGGGCAGATGACGACTCTGTGGCGCCTGTGGGTCAGTTTCACATTTGGGCGTGGGTCAAAAATAGGTACCCTAGATACCTATGTTGGAACCCTGGTAAATGGAAATAAGTCTGAGGCCTGTGGTCCCCTAGTGGTTAAATTTTGGCCCATACCCATTTGGACCTACAGGGAAGCAGCATGACAGCAACCTCACCCGGGAGCTGGCAACCTCGAGGGTTCTTGTCTAGGTCCCCCAGCTAGGTGCCCTTTTTAACCCCTTTTTTGGGGGGAGGTTTCCCTACTAAAAAGTTGGTACCCTTATTCTAACATCTCTACTGGAGGACCTAGTTGTGTTGTGGGGTCCATCTCTTAGGTTAGATTACTCTCACCCGCGCGTCTCTGCTCACCCCCTACCCAGCGCTTTCCCAGCAGGCTTCGGCATTTCGGCTGCCCCGGATGATCAGGTTCCTCTTCAATTTCTCAGCCACGGCAACGGAGGGTAGCGCTTCTCCCTAATAAAAAACGTCCCCCTCCCCCCCCCCCCTCCCAAAACATAGAAAAAACACACTGGGGGGAGTTTTATTCTCAGGGGTCGCCGGTTTGGGCCGATCGATCCGGAGTAAAGGAATCGAACTCCCAGAGCTCGGGGACCCAAGGAAAACCACCTCCACTACAACACACACACACATCCAATGCGTTCGGCTTTCATGAACCTCACGGCCGCCGGTGGCTCGCTTCCACGTCCACTTGCGAGGCGGATTTGGGGGTGGAGCTGCCCGGCCGCGTCGGGGGCGTGCTGCAGGGCACGCGGCTTTGCAGCACCAGGCGACTTCGCGAAGTCGAAAGCAAATTGCAGCGATGGCCGGTGTTCGCGCTCAAAAGGGGTCTCAGGAAGAAAAAAGTATATATGTCATATATGATGTCGTGTTAGACAATCAGTGGTTGTTTTTTAATCCGGATGATGGCTCCGGAGATTTTGTTCGCCGCGGCTCTTTTTTGGGTTCCAAAAGGGGTGGGAATACGTACTTCTGGGGCCTTTGAATGATAAGGCTAAGGAAGCATGAAACAGGAGCCGAACACAATCGTGGCACACCCTGTCCAGAAAGTCTATGGGCAATTGCGGGAAGTGCGCTGGATGCCCTACATATTACAAGTAAACGAACAAGACCACCTCCTAATTTGCCGTACTTTAAGTGCATGTTTTTTCCGGGCATCCGCATCTCTACGCTTGGACTTGGGCGCAAAAGTGGCAAAAGTGGCCAGTGGATGTCATCAGTTGGGGTTGGGGATCCGAAGATGAAAGTTTGGGAAGCCTTCGGCGACGCAACTGCAGAGGGGAATGCGATTGCATTTGGCGAGAACCGAAGGGAACACCACCACTTTGGAGGGGTCCCCCAAAAAGACTTTGGTGTGGTTCCGGTTTTCCCGAACAGCTGAAAGGTATTGGGTTGATTGGTTGAGATAGGATCGTTTGGGGTGGTTTGGGGCAGCTTTCAGGGAGGGGAACGGGAAATCTCACTTCGTCCTCATGAAAAAGTGTCACCCCCACGCCTGTGGATGAAGATTGGTCTCGAATGCCGGCTCCAAGGTTTGAGCCCTATTCGTGAGGAGCTTGTTCTTGGGGAACTGGACGTGGCAGTAACATAGGCGAGTGTCCTATTCAGGGGTCATCATGTAGCAAGCGGCAAGAGAGCCTACCAATGGTGGCCAAACTGTCAAAGGCTGTCCTCCAAAAAGTCACTCCACGTCGGGTTCCAAAAGGATCTGAATAATGTAATTTCACGCTCCGCGCACCGGCCCCGCGTGCCAGGGAAGACTACCAGGGAAAGTATTTTACGAAAAGCCGAGCCGTGCGCGATGGATGGTGGATGGCTGGATGGACTGATGGTGGGTGGGTGGATGGGTGGATGGGCGGATGGGCGAATGGGTGGATGGGTGGATGCATTGATGGCTGGATGGATGGATGGATGGATGGATGGATGGACGGACGGGGTGGAGGGGGCTGGATGAATGGCTGGATGATTGGATGGATGGATGGATGGATGGATGGATGGATGGATGGATGGATGGATGGATGGATGGATGGATGGATGGATGGATGGATGGATGGATGGGTGGGTGGGTGGGTGGGTGGGTGGGTGGGTGGGTGGGTGGATGGCTGGACGGGATGGACTGGATGGACGGGATGGACGGTATGGACGGGATGGACGGGATGGACGGGATGGACGGAAGCCATGATGGCATGGATTGATGGATGGATGGATGGATGGATGGATGGATGGATGGACGGGATGGACGGGATGGACGGGATGGACGGGATGGACGGGATGGACGGGATGGACGGGATGGACGGGATGGACGGAAGCCATGATGGCATGGATTGATGGATGGATGGATGGATGGCTGGACGGATGGTTGGTTGGTTGGTTTGTTGGCTGGTTGCGCATTTGCGGCCTGCGCGTTGCGCAAATGCGTGTGCGCGGTGCGCGGGCAAACCGCGCGCGTGCGCGTCATCAGGAATGTCTTGGGGAAGGCTGGCCCCAAAACGCGGGCGATGCAAGGGATGCAGGCGATGCGCGAAGCACAGAGGCTTCCGAAAGTGCCGGCGATGCTGGCAATGCAGCCGGGTTGCTGCATATTCGCAATGTTTTGGGCCTTCCGCCAGCTCGGCCTGACTTTGAGGTCGGGGTGTCTGGGAGGGCTGGCGGTCTAATTGTGTGAGGTGCGGTTGGGATGGTCGGGTGGCGGGGTCGGGAAATGTTGTCTTTTCGCACCACAATTTTCTTGGGGAATCAAGAGAGGGAGAGGGAGAGGGAGAGGGAGATGGAGAGCTGCGAGAGGGAGAGCTGCAAGACGGAGAGCACAAATCTTCTGGGCGGGCGCAACCCCAGGCTCATGACCAAACTGGTTGCGCAATTAGTCGTCTGCGATTCCTAGATGGTTGTGCCACGGATCATTGCAGCCACGCCTTGTGCTCGGTCCCTGCGCCCGGCGCGCAGGTCACCCCAGCGTTTCAAGACGGTCTTGCGCGGCGGCGCCTGCTGGTGGCAAAGTTCTCGCCCTTCTGCAGGGTCCACGGCCGGTGTGCCAGCGCAGCTGGGCCCTCTTCCAGAGCTCTGTGGCTCGCAACATCTCGCAAAACTCCTGGCGCTGTCCAGAAACGGGTCTACAGCCTTGCTGGAGACGCCAGTCAAGGAAGCTGGGCCTGACTGGAAGTCCAGTCCCGGGCTGCCCAGGGCCAGCTATGACATCTATGTTGACGCATTGGCGCAGTTGTGCAGCGTGTGGGGGTCAGGGCTGACCTGACTTGCAGAGTTGCGGGTTTCATGGCCTGCTCATCTTAAAAGAGCTGCAAGACAAGCAGCAAATCCACTTGTGCCAGGGCCATGCATGTCCTCAAAGATGGGAATGAGCCTGATCCCAAACGGAGCTTTAGGATCCCAAAGTGCCCAGAACCAAGAAACACTTGAACTACGCACCCCTGCTGCTTTATATTGTCCCATGGGTTTCCCACACCGGGTCGACGGTTTGCTCCCATTTTACATCCTTGCCCTTGACTATGGTGGTTTTAGAAAAAAGACATTCAAACCTGGGATGAGGGTTTAACCTTCAGTGGGTATGGGTCAAAATAAAATGCAGGGGATGTTTTTGTCCTTGTTTCCTTTGATAAAGTTTTCGACAACCAAAAAGTTACCCCTAAGTTACCCTATTTTTCCTATTTTGGGGTTACCCTAAGTTTAGATCTCTAGAAGCGAGTTGCTTCTTTTGGAGAATTCCGTGAGAGGCTCTTCTGGCTTGCGGAGTCCCTCCCACTGCTGGAACGCCTAGGCGCCGTGCTGTGTGTGTGTGTGTGTGCGCGTGTCCTTCTTTCCTTTTAAGTGCCAAACGTTTCAGGAGCGTTCAAATGACTTGTTTCGTGAACTGGCATGCAGCTAGGGACGCTAAGTTACAACTGGCATACCTCATGTGTACCAGTTTCCACTGCACATGTGTCGATCATCACACGATTGGAGCAAGTGGCAGCGCTTGCGCAGAAGAAGTTATGTGTCAACCATGCCTGTGCAGGTGCTGACAAATCAGGTCAGCTGAGGCGAGATATGGCAAAAAGTACCATATGGATAACACGTTCTCACCCACCATTCTGTGAATACACTAGCAACACCACTCACTTGGACAAGTGGCAACGCAGCCATTATTTGTCATTTATCCTCTGACTATTACAGATGGACAGGACTGGAGTTTTGGAACAACTGTCCAGGCACCCAACGAACCATCCATAATTCAGGTGATGAACTGACAAAATTGTTGGCAGTCTACTGTTGTTTTGGGGAAGATGAGAAAGGGGACGGGCGCCAAGTTTCAATTGTCCATGTCCCCTTCAGGAGCATGTCAATATGTTTGTCCGGGGACGCATCCAAGTGATTACGTTGGTTTATCTTTCCCTTTTTGGTTGACTGCCAGTCAACCCAGCTAATATCCCACTAACATGGCACCTGACAGGGGGTCCTTCAAGAGGAAATCGATCTTCCAAGTTCCTCCCCACAGGTACTACGTTAGTGGGTGGAAGGGTACCCAAAAAGATCCACAGAATTCGGGGCATCCCCAAGAGACTGGATCTCTCGTCGCATCTTTGACTTGCTGTTCCTCCATCCTCCATTCCCCTATTTGTCGCCATGTCAAATGAACTGTTTTGGTTCCTGGACCTTCACAATATCCTGAATGTCTACCTCTGATTAATAACCCCCCCAACACAACTTGATTAGGAACTGCGAGGTGTTGCTCACAGATCTGTTGTGTTTCAATTGACTTAGTATTGCCGGAGCCTCCTTTTGAGATTGGATTTGGGTTTCCAGTTGGTTTAGCATTGGTGGATTTGAGTTTCCAATTGGTTTAATATTGCTGGGGCCTCCTTTTCAGATTTGACTTGAAGGATTTGAGTTTCCAATTGGTTTAGTATTGCCGGAGCCTCCTTCTGAGGAGCCTCCTCCTGAGGAGCCTCTTTCTGAGATTTGACTTGAGGGGTTTGAGTTGTTAATTGGTTTTGAGATTCGGCTTAAGGAATTTGAGTTTCCAATTGATTTATTATTGCTGGTAACTTTTTTTTGGCGGGGGGCAGCCAGGAATCTTGATTTAGGGGGGCCCCTAAATCATGTTGTTTTCAACCGCCAAGTTTTACCCCCCCTTGTAGAGTTGATTAGGCCACTTTGAAGAATTTGCAGTTTGAGAGCTGTTTGTTTTGGGATTGCTACAGCTAGATGGTCCACAGGGAGCAAGTGCATTTTACAAGGAAAGCCTTATCAAACAAGAGTTGAGATTGGATGGCCTGTTCTTTTCTCTCTTTTATTTTTTTTGGGGGGGGAACGAGGAATCATTATTGAAGAGTTCTTGCAGATCTGAAATTTGAAGGCAGGCAAGGCACATACTGACCAATCAGACCAGCTAGTGGAAAAGGGGAGATGATGCTAGTGTGTGTGTGTGTGGGTGTGTGGGTGTGTGGGTGTGGGTGTGGGTGTGGGTGTGGGTGTGGGTGTCGGTGTGTGGGTGTCGGTGTGTGGGTGTGCGTGTGCCGCGTGTGCACGTTGGCGTGGGCGTGTGCGTGTGCGTGTGCGCGTGCGCGTGCGCGTTCGCGTGCGTGCGTGCGTGCGTGCGTGCGTGCGTGCGTGCGTGCGTGCGTGCGTGCGTGCGTGCGTGCGTGGGTGGGTGGGTGGGTGGGTGGGTGGGTGGGTGGGTGGGTGTGTGTGTGTGTTGTTTGGCGTGTTTTTGCGAGTGAGTCTGGGTTAGCAGAAAACAAAACAACTTTATTTAGGGGGTTGAATCAGACCTAACCCACAACATAGCTTGATTCAGGGGAGCTTGTTTTAATCATAGGTCGACGTTAGAAATGGGTGACTGCCCCCAAATATAAAGGCTTGGTTTGGTAAGGTGCATTGCCTTTAAGGGTGGTGCTTCATTTCCCTATGGGAGGCGTGCCCAAAGCCACGGCCCCAAAAAAGCGCCGAAGGCCAACCGAGCAGTCCACCAGCTTAACCGCGTGGTTTTAACCAGACCCTTCGCTTCCTTCCATCTGCGTAGTACTGTGGATGGACAAAATCCCTTCGCGCCACGAAATGAACCCATTCAAACCAGCACGCTTGCTAGTATTGACAGGGGCTTATCATCCTGCAAGGGTTTTTTATGAGGTGGTGCGAAATGGATTTCGTGCATCCACAGTGTTGCTGGTGCTCAGCCGGCGAATGAGTGGGCTTGGACATTTAGTGGGTTTGGACCTTTCGTGGGTTTGAACCTTTAGTGGAGCTTTTTTCGGTTTCGGACCCTTCTTTTTTTTTGGGGGGGGCGGGGGCCGAGTTTGTTTTCCTAGGTTTGGCGGGCTGGGTCGTGAAAGAGTCCCCGGTCAAATAAACCCTTCCACGGGGGGGGGGGGGGTTTGGCGTGGTAAACAGCGAGTCTCTTTCTAAAAAACCACCAAAAACCCTGGAGAAACAACGATCGTTTTTTGAAAATAATGGTTGGAAGGAATCAACCCCTAGAAGAGTCTACCCCCTTTTTTGGTGGGAGAGGGGGGGGGGGGTTTGGCGTGGTAAACAACGAGTCTTTGGGTCCCTTTTTGTTCGGTCGCCGGCAATCCATCTGGATCCCTCGCGCCCGAAAGCCAGGCTTCGGGTCGCAGGAGCCCCTGGCGGTGCTGGGCCTGGACACCGTGGGCCGCGTGAGGCCGGCGGGAGCGGGGCCCGGAGGCCCCCCCAAAACGGGGCGCTGGAGCTTGGGGCGGCGGAGATATTTGTGAGACTCATGTTGCAACAAGTGAAATAGATCAATGTGAGCCATCAATACCGATTCGGGTAGATGAAGGTTAAGGGACAATTCCAACTATAAGCTGCGGATATCCGCCTTCTTCGTTCTTGAAGCATGGTTCTGGACAAACCATTTTAATACCGGGTTTTGATTGTGACTCATGTGTCTGCTGCAACAAGTGAAATAGATCATTTCGGAGACTCAAGAAGAGAAAACAAGTGACAACCCATCACCCAGTGGTCGAGAATATGTTGAAAGAACATGTGGAAAAGGTGTTCCAGTGCAGCTTAGTTTTAAAGATAGGGACATCACTAGAGATTGCCAGGATCCGGCAATCGGAATCAACGGATCAGGTAGTTGTGTTTTTGCGGCTCAGCAGCAAAGAGTGAAATCGCCCAGCGACATAGCAAGTCGGCGTTTTTGATAGGGGGGGTCAAAATGGTGGACCCCTGTTGGTTGGTAAGAAAAGGAAGCCACTCAGTTTGGGGGACGGACCTATTTTGAGAAACAGCCGTAGCACAAGATCAAGAGGCAGATTGCTCAAGATCGGCAGATTGGGTCTCTCGATGATTGCCGAGCATTGCCGAGGTTGAGTGATCATTTGATTTTGTACAGGGTTCAGGCAGTCCATGGGTTCTTTTGAGTGTGTCCTCTTTTAGGGGACCCGCCCCCCCCAAACCGCTTTGTTTTTTCCTTTTGGTTTCCCTTCATTTTCCCTCAAAACAGCTGCCCTCAAAAAAAGACAGACCCATGTGGACATTTCAGAAGGGACTCACTCATTTTCACGCCAAAACAAGGAGACTTCCGCCATGACCCAGAATGACTGTGGGTTCGGACCATTAAAATGCAGGAAACAAGAAGTTGTTGGGCTGTCCACTCAGGAAGTGAGATGACCGATCCCACGAAAAGCTGATCACTTTTAGCCAGGGACCAACAGCGAGCTTCGGTGGATTTAGCCTTTGGCGACTCAGCACCGATTTTTGTCTTGCTGCATTGGCCCGAAGACAAAGTCGGCATCAGGTAACTACAAAAACCCAAAGCGTCATTTTTTCGGACGGCCCCACGTTTCCGGTAATTCACAAGCCCATCCCGGCCCACGAACACCCCACCCCCCCCTTCCCGCTTCTGCGGTGGTACTTCCTCTTTGCATCGGCCAGGCTGGCCCTCTCTGCAAGGCACAAGCGCCTCTGGCTCCCAATGTGAGGCAGGCGCGCGCAACTGCGCAACTCACAGCCCGCGGCTTCGGCGTTCGGGGCACGTGGAAGGTACAGCTTCGGTAGTTGCAAGAGGGGCGAAGGATGTGACTTCCCTATGCTCAGAAGAAACCATTCAGTTGGAGGGATGATCATCTCAGGACGACCATGACGCAGATTGGAACATGGCACCGATGTCGCTGTCCCTTTTGTCTCTGGCCAGACCGTCAGTTGTCCCCCTGCGCGGCTTCCTGTTCGCTATGAGAACTGGTGGGGCAGGACTTTGCATGTGCGGAGGAAATGCGCTGAGAACCAAAAACCATGCGTGCCTTGGATCAAGCTTTCAGCCCATTCCCTCTGTGCGCAGCAATTCGCGTGGGGATTTTCCGGACTTCTATGTGGCGCATGGCAAGAGGTGTTTACCAAAGAACCAGCTTAACAATGTTCCAGCACCCTTCGCTCAGCGAAAGCAAAAGTTTCGATCCGCGCAGCTCGATTCGTGTGGATCGGGATGGCCAATTTTCAAACCGATTCGCCGCTGGCGCCAGGACTGAGCGGCTTGATTTCCCCGGCGTATACCAGGGAAAGCCGCTTGATCCGAAAGGCGTGCGCACTCCCACACTTTTCCGTCGGCGTTTTGCCCAAGGCAGCCGCAGTTTCGAAGGGCGGATGGAGCTCGTGTGGAGCCAGCAGGTTACAGGGACAGTTGCTCCAGAAGAGACAAACAGATGTCCGGAGCTTTTGCGCACTGCCATATTCCAGAAGGAAATCGTCCGAAAGCCTAGTGGCGATTTGAGAATCCATAGTCAACTCTAATGTTCACTTGCAGTTTCAAGGCCCGTCTTCTTGGGTTTGCCCCTGTGCATGGGTCCTTCCAAGGCATAACCTCTCCGCCTCCGAGCTCCATTCTCAAGTTGCCCTTACCCTTTGGGCTGCAATCAAAACCCGAAGTGAAGGACAGGTTTGCCATAGCCAAAAGACGTCCCCAGACCCCAGACCCTCAGACCAAACGCCAAATAAGACACATGACAGTCATATATCCGCATTATTTAGGGCTTGTTTGCCCCTTATTTGCTCTATTCGTTGGCTTGAAAAGGTATGCTCCAGGGGTCTGGCAATTTGAAAACGGTAGCGGCAGGTTGCCTTTTTGGTTCTTGACATACTTTCTGCCTTCGCTCATGGAGGTCAACCGCTCGCGAAAACCTATGAAGGTCCAAGCTTGAGTATCCAGTTCTGATTTAATCAGTCTCTCGTGCTTGCAAGGTACTCGTGTTGGATGGTTTTGAAGGGACACCGCCCAACTTGGGACGTCCTACTATTTTGAGACAAACCCATTTCGGCTTTTTAGAGTCATTGAAGAAGACCAATGTATGGAAGGGGAGCAGCATCCGCAGTTGGGGGAGCAGCATCAGGGAACCAATCATCGGAGACTTTCCTGATTCCAGGTTCTGGATTTACTATAAACGACATAAAACAACTGCAGGTAGTTTGCGAGAATCTCCACTTTCAGGTTTGTTGAATTATATTGAACACGCTCGCAAACATCAGTTGTTTCCTCTATATATTTCATGTTGTTTGGAATTATCGAACAACGATGTTTCTATAAACATTTGGCTGCGGGTCAAACAAATACTACCAACATGGCACCTTGGCAAATGGAACCAAAGACCAAAGTTCCTGCGGTTTGCAAACCAGTTGAATTTTGAGCCACCCCCGATTTGTTCAGACCGGGTTCCGCTTGCGGCGCTCTTTTTAAGGCTCGGCCGGCGGCACCGAGGTGCCTCGGTGCCCGCAGGCCTGGGCGCTGCAGACGCCTCTCCATCCCAAACTCAGAGACTCCCAGCTCCATGCGCCCGGGTCCGGCCCAGTACAGGGGGCACATTGGATCTCTCTCTCTTTCCTGGGAAGACTTGGACGCGAGCGTCAAGAGGCAAGAGAAAAAAGAAGAAAAATGCCGCGGCGCTGTTTTTTTTCTTCTTTTTTTTCTGATTTGAGAGGGTCGAAGTATTGAAGCATTCTTGGTGTATAGCCTGGGGAAAGGCAAAAAACTGAAGTGTGTTTTTTGGGGCCCCAGTTCTTGTTTCAAGCGAATTCTAGTTCACCCAGGGCGATGGCTGTGGTTAAGACGTGAAGGTGGGACTGGCCGGGGTCGGCGTCTTCTTTTAGGGGCGCCATGCGTTGTTTGCATTTGACTGGGTCCCTTGTGAACTCTTGGAGGGAGTGTCAAACTTATTGTTTCCCTTCGAACCACCACTTGGAGGGTAATTTGAGGACGTCACTCCAGCGGAAGTTGTACGGGGCGAATGTCATTTGCCTGAACAGTCAACGCACCTCCACTAAAATCAACAGAATTCAAGGGCTAATGGGCACGAAGGCCCTTGGCTGGGAAAAAGAGAGGCTGAGGCCCCTGGCTGAGGTGTTGGTTTGCTCGCGAGGGCTTCGATCGGATCACTTCTCTTCCATTTTTCGCCAAAGGTCCAGCCAGGACGTCCCCCAACCAAGCGCTGGGGTCATTTCGGCCGGTTCCTTTACTTGGCGGTTGACGGGGATGGTCACCCACACGACAACAACGGGATTCTTAAGAACCGTTAGAATGAGTCCTTTTTGGGCACCATGACCCAATCGGCGAAATATGTGCAGAGTTTCGACCGTGGCACATGTGGTAGTATGATGGGTCAAAATCCAAATCGTACCCCCAGTGAACATCAACCAATCCAACCACTAAAATAGGTTCTAAAACTGATGGTGAATTCACCTACCAACCAAAGTGGGATCCCAAAACGGTTTTGACAACCACAGCCATACAGTTGTTTGGGAATTCCAGCTGAAGTATTGGGGCAAGTTGCCAGGCAGTGATCATCATGATACCAGTGCGAATCAGTCTGGGTTCACTTGCCTTGCTGGTTCTGAGCAGGGAATGAGGGAAATACCCCTAGGCTCATGCACCATTTGTGGCTGTAAGGGAATCTCTGGGTTCTCTAGGGGTTGATTCCTTTTCCATTATTTTCAACTTTCAACCATCGTTCTTTTCAAGAAACAGCCATGTTTTCCCGGGTTTCTGGAGGTTTTTTAGAAAGAAGGATCCCTGGAAAGAACGGACATGGAAGGTACCCCTAGAGGTTCACTCTCAGAACCCCGAAATGGATTTCCCCAAGCAGTCCCGAACGCAACTGCCAGGACGCATAGGCACGGACGTATTTTTAGCATACTGATGCACGAGCTCCATGTCGCACCTAGGAAGATCCTCGAAAGGAATATGATTCTCCGGAAAAAAAAAGCCGACGGATGTTATGGCCTCGACCCAGGGTGTCATGCCGTGCGAAGGGATTTCGTCAGTGTCAGCTCGGGGACGGCCAAGAGGCACTCTTCAGGGGCGGGCGCGTGTTTGGAGCTGTGGCCATGTCCCGATGCGAGCGGTGCGATTATGACAAGTCCGGGTGTTGGGAACCGTTGGAGGAGTCCGGAATAAAGGAAACCGCCAGTTGGATGGTGTTTTTTTCAAGATCATTCCATTTCTCATTCCCCTGCTGAGCACCAGCAAGTATTTTTTCCTAAGCCAATGTCAACACTGTTTGAACCAGCCCGAGTTCCGCTTGCCAAGTTCAGCTTCCCTCTAGTTGGTGGTTTGGAGGTGTTCTGGGGTGGTCTCTTTACAGATTCTCCACAAGAACCAGGTGTGCAACTCCCCAAATCCCCGATCCAAACCACCAATTCAGGTCACTATCGGCAGTGGGCTCGAAAGTATTCCCCCTTCACCAGGGCCGATTTGCCGACGCCGATTTGGCCGATTTGGCCGGAGATTTTGCCCTCACCCAACCTCGAGAAAAAGTCACCCGCCTCAGTCTTTGTTGGCTCAGAAAAAGATCCCCTGAATTGTTTTTTTTGGCGGACAAACATCGATATTTCCCAGAGCGGCTCGCATGGAACCTGGCAAAAGAGGGATTTGGATTTGGAAACCAGGCATCTCACCCAGCCAGACTTCAGTGACAAGAGGCTCCTTCGTGGCTGGCAATGTTCTCAGTGGCTTACTTCCAAGCACCAGCCCAGTGAAAATAGGACCTGTGGGCGGCGTCCCTTCAAACCGCCCAAAGCCGAACCCAGGAACAAGAACTAGCCAAACGGAGGGGTAATCAAGAAAGGCCGCATCCATATGGGTGTATCTCTGTATCTCAAAATTGGTGACCCACAAAATCGTGGTTTTCCTTGCAGTGTCACCCAACCCCAAAATCGGGTGCCCTCAAAAACAGGCAAACCCAGACCCAATCACCCTGGGGTTGAGTTACCACCAGTGAAACGGGGGTTCATATTTCACCGCCATTGTTTGCCGAAGCATTGTCATCATCCAACTTGGGTCCACCGTTCACAAAACGGGGGGTTGAACCTTACGGAATGGGTGTTTTTACGGGTTCCGTGTTAAACTCTGCACTGCTCCATTTTTTTTTTACCGGGGGTTAAACTGGGTCAACCTTTCTCTTACTGGGGGCAAGGAACCTCAGTTGTCTTGCTGCTTCGGGAGTAATCACCCATAAGGACACTTGGATGTTGGATTCGCCATTTTTCAGTGGACACCGCCACAAGACCCATAGATTCTCAGTTGCCCAAAGCCGACCTTACCTTTGGGTTTTCTTGTTTTGGTCCATTTGGTCCCAAAAGGTTTTATCACCTTTTATTCCCAGGTCCTTTGGGCAACTGAGTATTGCCTCACTTCCTAAGTTCATGAGCTTTAAAAACTTTTTGGGGACACCATTTGAGTGGGAAATATACAGTTTGGGCTTTTTATGGGCCATCCACTCAGCCACTCAGCCACCCCAAAAAACCGAAGGGGATAGGTTTCGTTGTCGCCTCGATCCATGGCCCGGGAGCGAGCACTCTCCTTCGAGGCTCACCTCTGAGCGAGGGAGCGGTGCTTTGTGAGTCAAGTGAGCGAAAGAGAGGGTGCTTAAAGTGTTTTTTCTTGTTTTTCTTCTTTTTTTATCAAGAACTGTTGCAGGCATTAGGGGGGTGTGATGTGGAAACTGGTCAGCTGGCCAAAGTATGTTTTTGAACGAAAAGCGGGTATTACAAGAAGGGGGCGGGTGTTGCAACCAACAGAAATCGTGGGAGGGGGGAGTCCCCGTTCCACG